GTTCAGTCAAACATGTTTGAAGAGGTTTATTCTGAGCCAAGTGAGTGACCAGGCCTGGGACACAGCCCCACGAGGTCTTGAGAGCCTGCGTCTGAGGTGGTTGAGTTGTATAGGTCTTGGGAAAACAGCAGGTACAGAAAACCACACACCAATATACGTGAGATTTACACCGGTTGGGCCTGGGAAGGTAGAGTATCTCTCGGGGGAGAGGGTACTTACAGGCTACAGGTGGATGCAAAGATTTCTTGACTGGCCAATCAGCAGCAAGAGTCAGGCTCTTATCTAAGGAATTCTGGAATCCGTGGAGCATTGCAATAAGGGGACAGCTTGAGGAATGAGGAGGGGGTCAAGTTTCTCAAGATGTGGATGAAACCTCATGGGTGACCGACTTCAGAGGGAGGAGTGGGTGAGCGTCTTAAAAGGTGCAAAGGTGCTCGCCCTGGAGTCCCCAGGACATAAAATACTCTGAGTTCCTTCTTTACCCAATGTGTGATATTATGCCAGACAGGCTGGAAAGCTAGCTTTTTCATATGGGGTTAATTAAACCTGTCTGGTGAGTCTTCTAAGGCATGACTCCCCAAGTCCTTTAGTTAGGAATTTGGATGAGAAGTTAACAGGTCAGAGTTTGGTACCCATAGGACAACACAGCCTTTGCGTGTTCCTGCCTGCCCCTCGATGGGTTGACTTGTTCAAAGGGCTGCGTAGGAAGACTCTTCCCCACTGCAGCAGGAAGCAAGAGGTGGGCTGGACTGCTGTGTCCCTCCACAGCGCCCAGATTCGAATTTATTCTACTCAGTTTTTGACAACAATGTTTTCTTTTCTTTTTTTTTTTTTTTTTTGAGTTGGAGTCTCACTCTGTCGCCCAGACTGGAGTGCAGTGGCCGCTCCCAGCCACCACAGCCTCGACCTGCTGGGCTCCGGCGATCCTTCCACCTCAGCCTTCCAAGTAGCTGGAACTACAGGCGTGCGCTACCACACCTGGCTGATTTTTTGATTTATTGTAGAGATGAGGTCTCACCAAGCTGTCCAGGCGGGTCTCGAACCCGTGGGCTCAGGCAATCCACTCACCTCAGCCTCCCAAAGGTGCGGGATTACAGGCTGAGCCACCGAGCCCGGCTAACAATGTTTTCTTATATTGAAGATTTCTGAGTAGCTGTTTTTCAAATTATCCTGCTTTCTCCATTTCTGTCTATGCATTTGTTTGTTGTCCGATGGAAACAGGTTGTGCTCTCTTTTTTTTTTTGAGTTGGATTCTCACTGTCCCCCACACTGGAGGGCAGTAGCACACTCACAGCCACTGCAGCCTCGACCTGCTGGGCTCAGACGATCCTTCCACTTCAGCCTCCCAAGTAGCTGGAACTACAGGCATGTACCGCCACAACTGGCGAATTTTTTGATTTATTGTAGAGATGAGGTCTCACCAAGTTGCCCAGGCAGGTCTTGAACCTGCGAGCTCAGGCAATCCTCTCACCTCCACCTCCCAAAGTGCTAGGGTGACAGACATGAGCCACTGCACCCGGCAGTTGTGCTCTGTTTAGATGGACGTTATTCCTTCATTACCTCCCTGTACATGCATACCAAACATGTGTTTAAAATCTAATTAATTTTATTTTGAATGAACTCAAGTTCTGATTATTGATTTTTATTTGCTGCACTTATTGGGTTTCTTGATGTGTTTTGGAATTGTGGTTTGATTTTGAGTTTTTGAGTCGTTGGCTTTCCTCTTCACTCTTTTCTTACCTCTATCTGCTGTCTACACAGTTCCATGAGCTCAGACCGTCCTCCTGTCTCAGCCTCCCAAAGTGCTGGGGTTCCAAGTGTAAGCCACTGGGCCTGACCCTGCCTAAGATCTTTAAATGATTCTCTGTTGTCACAGTCAGCAGCAAAAAAGGAGTGAAATCCACAGGCCAGCCTGGGAAAGGGAGGAGGGGTTGAGATGCTGGCTCCTGTTCTTACAGGCGAAGGAACACTCACTGAGTCATGTCTGTAGCCATTTAAGATAGAAACATTCCCCAAAGAATACACGTTATCACCTCCTTGAAAATGTGTCCTCTCTGAAATGACTTTAGGACAAGGAAATACATCAAATGTTTTCAGGATCTCATGTAAGAGTCGGTATCTCCTTAGAACATGTTGTGGTCACCTAGAAATCAGAAACTAATGTGGTCTGGTTGGTAACGTCACAATATTCAGGATAGCAGGGTAACAATAGAAACCTTCCCATGTCCAGTCAGCAGTTTCTTACTATTTCCTACTTGCAAGACATTGTGGGGGAAACAGAATGTGCAAGAAATACTTTCTCCCTTCAGCCTCTTACAAGGCAGTACGCCCGGTGACTCAGCATCAAGATTGTTTATGTGTGTTATGTGCTAAATTGTGCCCCTCCCCAAGTAACTCAGAACGTGACCTTACGTGGAAGCAGGTTAATTGTAAAGCTGATTCGCTAAGATGAGGTCGTGCTAGCATAGGATAGACCCTCAACCCCACTATGAGAAGAAGTGGTGACAGACACAGGAAGGGAGATGCCCCCCACGGCAGGGCAGAGATGGCAGTGAGCCACCACGAGCCAGGGAACACCCAGGACTGATAGCCCCACAGACGCTCGCCAGAAGCAAGGCAGAGTTCTTGCCACAGGGTTCAAGAGGACCACGGCCTTGCCAGCGCCTTGAGTTAGGGCTTTTGGCCTCCTGGCCGGCAAGGTCATACAGTTTTTTGTTCTGAGCCCCTGGTTTTGTGGTGCTATGTGACAGCAGCCCTAACTCATAGAATAGTGGTTTTCATGGTTCGTATGAGTATTATGAACAAACGGCATAGCAAATCATTTCCAGCTGACATTGAGCATGTGTGGGATGTGAAGTCCGTGCTGAGTTTCAGTGGAATGATTTGATGTATAAAAAGACAGCAGGAGAAGAGAGGGCTTTAGGAGAAGAGAGGGTTTTATGTTCCTCCAAGTCGATCCAGAGTCCATCCTGAGGTCTAACCTTCCTCAGTAGCTGCTTTGGAAAACAAACTGAGTTTGATCCACTTTAATGCTCTGAACCTGGTGTCAACATTGCCACTGATAATATGACTTTTAAGACACAAAACTGGGACATGGCGGCATGCATTTGTAGTCCCAGCTATTTGAGAGGCTGAGGGAGAAGGATCCTGAGCCCAGGAGTTCAAGGCTGCAATGGAGCTACGATCCTACCACTGCACTCCAGCCTGGGTGATCCAGCGAGAACACATCTTTTAAAAAAGAAAGAGCCAGCGATGGTGGTTCACACCTGTAATCCCAGCACTTTGTGAGACTGAGGCAGGAGGATTGCTTGAACTTAGGAGTTTGAGACCAGCCTGGGCAACACAGCAAGACCTCATCTCCACAAAAAAGTCAGCCAGGTTTGGTGGCACCTGTAGTCCCAGCTACTCAGGAGACTGAGGCGGAAGGATCACCTGAGCCCAGGAGGTCAAGACTGCAGTGAGTCACGATCATGCCACTGCACTCCAGCCTGGGCAAGTGAGACCCTGACTCGAAAAGAAAAAAAAACAAAAAAAAAAGGAAGGAGGGAAGGTATTATTATCCCTATCATACAGAAAGAGAAACCACATTTCAGGGAGGTTAAATTCTACAATGTTACATAGAAGATATTACATGAAAACAACGAAGGCACAAAATCGGTGCGAACAGGCCATCTTACAAATGCTTCACTGCTTCCAGCAATGTGTAGTGTTTAGATATGACTTGCTGTTACTCCATTACAGATCACACTACAAAATGGGAAGTCTTCATGGAAACTTTGGTGAGCAGAGGTGAATTAAACTCATCCCAGCCAACACTGGCATGCTGGTCGCAGGGCCTGGTCCTGAGAGTGCTGTCCGGGGTCCCCTGTCATGCTTCTGACCTTGTGTGATGAAGTCTTCACAGTGATGCGTCCAGGTTCTATTATGATTAGCGCCATTGCTTAGCAACCTCCAGTTGTAAGTACATTCTTGAAATGTCAGTGGCTGTTTGGGGGGCAGCCAGAGGGCTGTTTACATGCCCTCCTTCTCACAACTCAATTTTTTTTTTTTTTTAGTCAGTCTCTGTCACCCAGGCTGGAGTGCAGTGGCAGGCTCATGGCCACCGCAGCCTCGACTTGCTGGGCTAAGGTGATCCTGACGCCTCAGCCGCCCAAGTAGCTGGGGCTGCAGGCACGTGCCACCACGCCTGGCTAATTTTTTTGATTGATCGTAGAGATCAGGTCTTGCCATGTTGCCCAGGCCGGTCTGGAACCCCTGGGCTCAGGCAGTCCTCTCGCCCCTGCCTCCCGAAATGCTGGTATGGCAGGCGGGAGGCCCCGCGTGCGGGCCACCACTCCGTCTCCAATTTGACTGCCGGAAGGGTCCTGACTTCCAGCCTGAATCGCGGGCTCCCGCCGGTTCTGTCTTC